AAGTCTCACTCCTCCATTTTTAGCTTAAATGAAAATATGGCTGAACCGTTCTAATCTATTTAATATCGGAGAAATCCGATGCCATCGAGAGTTGATTATGGTCCAGTGAAAACCCGACACACAAGATGGCATCGGGGGTTGATTACGGTCTGCACAAGTTAATTAATGTCTAATTAATACTTTAGATAACATTTCAGGCTCAAAGAAAGACTTGCAATAGGCAGACTTAGCTCTTGCATAATGTATGTTTAATAAGATTAATACAATGACATCATTATTAATGTGACGTCATAATGTATGTTTAACATTTCAATTACCCATAATTTCTCAATTTTTTATGACATCATTTGAATTGTGGATATGTGAAGTGTAGAATATGTATGTATAAATTAACTTGTGGGTTACTTATTGCAATAATATGGACGTTTTTTGTTAAAATAGAGAGAGAGAGAGAGAGAGAGAGAGAGAGAGAGAAATGGGGTTTAACGTCTACCCGACACAAACTAGGTAATTTCGGGACTAACATATGGTTTAATTTTATTTCAACAATTCACTTGCGCGTAGGGGTCTTTAGCAGTGGGAGGAAACCGGAGAACCCGGAGAAAACCCACGAGATTGAACAGACGACCCAAATCCTTGTCACGTACAACCGGGGATTCGAAACCACGCACATGCTAACCATTCGGCCATCCAACCCCCTTGTCAAAATACACCATTGTCTAGTCGATTCTTCTTCTTCACTTCGGCGTTTTACGTCCATTTCCACCAAGGGTGGTAATGTCTTGGACAAGTCCCTTGTCGATGATTAGTACCCTTTTACATGTTACAAGATGGAGTAGTCCCTGCTGAACAGAAAGTACAACAGACTTCTCTAGAAAAATGTCTATCGATCGGCAACTTTATATTTTAATCCCTCAGTTTTCTTCTACATTATTCTGTTTTAATTCTATCAGCAGAGACTACTCCATCTTCTATACATGTCTCCCTCTTCGTTTGCCAACAGTTTTTTTTATCCAGCAGCTACACATATCTATTGGTTTGTCCAGGCTAACACTAACCCTAACCCTATATGCTACTCATTTAAAGGAGCTAAACCGCTAATATTTGAGATCTAGAAATTGACACAAAATGGGTCGCAACGCATATAATAATGTAATATGAATGTATATAAACTGATTTACATTCAATCGTTTCTGTTTTACTATAATGTTCGGCCAAATACGCCAGAAGTCTCAATCGAATGGCCATCTCTCTAGCGTCTGGTTATTCCAGTCTACACCGATAGTATTCATTTCGCATGCTCTCCAGATAAGAATATGACGTCACCGTTTGACATAACTTGTGGAATATGTATAGCCTCGTTATTCGAGTCCATTGTTACAAATGGCGCTGAAACGTATTATGGTACACGATATGTTTATTTTGTCTTAAATATTGGATATCAGAAGCCCATCTTTTCCCGGTACGATCACAACATCAATGTTAATTTAAACTGACAAATAAATCGTGTTTTCACTCTCGAAGACTTTGGGTGGTATTGTGTTAGAGACTTAGCCACTTTAAGTGTAAAAGTTTACAAATATCACACGTATGAGATTCTGGTGATTTTTATGATAATATTATTACAGTAGTCAGTCGATTGTAAGAATTTTGCGGGACAGCAGGGGCGTGTCCAGGAATTTAAGCGGGTGAGGGTCTGGGGTGGAAAATTGTCTACGATATCACCCCTGGTGGAAGTGGACCTTAAAATCCAGGAACGAATGATGTGGAAACAAAGTCCAGCTTGGCGCGAGGTCTAAGGGAATTACCCATAATTTTATGAAATCGGAAGTTCTGAGACAATATTGCTGTGCATTTAGGTGTATACATGTCTTTATAAACCTGTAACGGTAAATCTCTTTGATCTTTGGGGTATATTCTATGCCCGGAATAACTTACGGTCAGAAAGCCGGGGTAGGTTTTGGACATATACAGGGAAATTTGGGGTTATTCTTCTGAAAGTTTTTCTTTAAACCTGTAAGGGATTATTCTTCCAGGGTATGTTTTTTTCCATAAGAAAACATGATATAAGGTTTTTCTTACAGGAATTCTGAGATATTCTCATCTTGCGTACATGTAAACAAAGGCGGTTTATAAGCAAGATAAAGTCCTCGACTTCGGTTATGCTGGGGAAGAAAGACTTCAGAAATAAAACTCTCGACAGAAAAACGTCGGTTTTTCTTTCTCTCGGGTTATTTTCTTCAGTCTTTCTTTCCCCAGCATAACCGAAGTCGAGGACTTTATCCTACTCATAAGATTAGAGCGGAGTGGGATGAAAACGGTGGAAATGCTTCAGAGGTTATTTTTATGACTGAAGATGGAAGAAGATATGTTCCCACTCCTCTGGACATCAGAATTTGTTTAATTCCAATTGATAAAAGATACTGTTGGTGCACAAATCGGATTTCTAAATCCATTAATGGTAGTATAATGGGGTGATCATCTACCAATCGCTAAGAAAATTAATGTTTCTTAAATTAACCACTTCAAGATCAACTGGCTAGCAAGTCGTTAACCTTTCACCAATTTTTAAGCCGTCATTGGGTAACGACGTTAATCCCATCTATTGTTTTTGTTGATTGATTATATTGTTTAACAGTTTATGCATTGTTTATCTATCGACATGTTAGTTTTAATTACAACATTTGTTTTTACCCTATTATCTGATTTACCTTAAATATAACAAAATTTGTACATTGAAGGCAGTCACGAGTTAGGATCCCTTACTAAGTGTAGTAATTGGCCTGTCAGTACTGTATGACGGTATATGTATATATTTATGTTCCGGTATATTAAAGAATTGAAGAATCATTCGAAGTCTGTTATATCCGAAAAGAGAATTTAAACCTCTAAAGTAGTTACTTACTGGATAGCGCAATATAACCCAGGGAAGAACAATTAACGGCAGGCTAGCCTTCTACTTAATCTGGACGAGGTTTACAAGAGCATCCTTTTAATACTTGAAAAATGAAAACGTCGGGAGAATATGAGTTATGACAGCTGCTCATGTTTGCTGAACATGCATCCCATGGGAGGATTCGCACTGCTCTTGTATATATATATAACCATATTTCTTATGATTTTATTTATTTGTGTTATATGCTTGATTTGATAAGGAAATGAAATGGGGTTTAACGTCCTACTATTCTGCTCCGATCTGGCCAATGAAGACGGGTATACGCCATACAGTGTGCTATGAGGGAAATTTTTCCCGGACAGCGGCACTATCGCCTACTCTTATATCGAATTCCAACTGTCAAGAGATCTTTTACATGCACACCAATGTGTACACGGGACCTCGTTTGTTTCCCATCCGAACGACTAGACAGCTGTCTATGCCAAGCCCCCCGTCCCATCCGAATGACTAGACAGCTGTCTATGCCAAGCCCCCCGTCCCATCCGAATGACTAGACAGCTGTCCTTGTCGGGCCCTCCGTCCTGCATCACTGCCAAGGGGGAACCACGCCGGAAAATCTGAATGAACTTTTACGGCCAATGTAGGGATCGAACACCCGACCTACAGGCTAGTGAGCCAGCCTCTTACCAACTTAGTGCTTGATAAGGACTTGTGAAATCTTGTTGAAACGTGGCAGTGAAATAAAACCATAGTAATTGTTATCCATAATAGTGTCGTTTCCCCTTGTCAGTGATGCAGGACGGAGGGCCTGACAAGGACAGCTGTCTAGTCCTTCGGATGATGCGAAAAACCAAGGTCCTGTGTACACATTGGCGTGCACGTAAAAGATCCCTTGACATTTGGAATTCGATATAAGAATAGGCCGTAGTGGCGCTGCCCGGGCAAAATTTCCCTCATAGCACACTGTATGGCGTATGCCCGTCTTCATTAGCCCAGTATAGTAGCAGAACAGTAGGACGTTAAACCCCATTTCATTTCATTTTCATTTCGATTTTGTCAGACATACAGTAACCTTTGGGACCAGGGCTTGACAAAGCTGGAAAATTATTTAGACATACTGTAACCTTACAAGTGGGACCAGGGATTGACAAAACTGGTGAGTTCTTTCGACATACTCTAACCCGACTAGTAGCACATGGGCTCGACAAAGCTGGATGGTTCTTTAGACATACTCTAACCCGACATGTGACACCTGGGCTTGACAAAGCTGGGTAGTTCTTCTGACATACGGAATGCTAACACCCCCTCTCTCTTTGTACGTCTAGAGGGGTTTGGCAGACCGAATGGTTAACGTGTAAGCGTTGCATTATAATGTGTCATTAAGTCCAGTGCCGTAGTTTCGATTCCCTGCTTGAATGTGATGAGTAAAGTAGGGTCACCTGCGTAACCTCGTTAGTTTTCTCAGGGTCCTCCAGTTTCCTCCCACTGCTAACGACCCCTACAGGCAAGCAAAGTAATGAAGTAAAATTGAACCAGTGGACGTTAAACCCCATTTCTCTCTCTCCTGACATACAGTAACCTGACAAGTTGGGCCTGGGTTTGATAAACTTTGATGGTTTGTTAGACATACCATAACCTAACAAGTGGAGCCAGGGCTTGACAAAGCTGGAAGGTTATTTAGACATACTGTAACCTGACAAAGCTGGAAGGTTGATTTAACGTGACTAACCTGATAAGTGGGACCAGAACTTGACAAAGCTTGAAGGTTGTTTAGACAAGGCTAAACCGACAGGTGGGACCAGGGCTTGACAAAGCTGGAAGGTTGTTTAGACACGGCTAACCCGACAGGTGGGACCAGAGCTTGACAAAGCTGGAAGGTTGTATAGACATGGTTAACCTGACAAGTGGGACCAGAACTTGACAGGACTGGAAGGTTGTTTAGACATGGCTAACCTGACAGGTGGGACCAGGGCTTGACAAAGCTGGAAGGTTGTTTAGACACGCCTAACCTGACAAGTGTGACCAGGGCTTGACAAAACTGGAAGGCCTTCTTGGACCACCTTTAAACTTATTCAACTCTCGGGACAGATATAACATACATGTATATGTTTTAAAAATTTAATTCAAAGTAATTTATTTTCTTAGGTTGAGTCTTGAAACAGAAAACAAAAATCTGTTTTTATTTGGTATAATTTCATTACCAATAAAAATAAAATAAAACAACAACAATTTATTTCTGAGCAAAATCGCACGTAATACTAGGTATACAGACAAATGATTGTTACCATTCAGTCTCGGCAAATTGTACAAATGCCCAGGACCCGCAACTTGGAAGCAGGTTCCGAAAATTCACCGAAATTTACCACTTCAAATCCTAAGACAATTTGTTTTCTTTTTTTTTTTTCGGTTCAATCTGATTAAAATACAGATGTATATTTCGTATTGTTTTTTTTTTATACTTTTGATGGCCTAAACTACATGAAGATCTGACCAGTTGTACTGGTGTCACATCAGGGGTTATACGAGCGGCTTGATGTCAGACATTCGATTAACCAATCAGCGTTGATGCTTCTAGTGGGTAACCCACAGTTCCGTGCACCTCAAACCAAAAGCTCGCTGAAACAGGCCATTTCATTGGCTAATCCGTCACATCATCCAGACCGCGGCTTATATAACAACTCTTCCAGATCCTAGTAATGTAGTACAGACAAATCAAACGAAATTTTGAACTATAACAAAAACCGAAACGAAATAGGATCTGTAGTTGAATCAGATTGTCATGGCTGGAACCAGAAATCTATCATTGTGCTATGACTGAAAAACACTTGGACCTGTGTCATGGTGTGCCCTCTAGTGTATATTCTAAATACCCTAAGGCTTGTGCTGGTATTGATTTTGATTTTGATAAATCTGCCATATTAGCTGCCATAACAACTATTATAATAGCCATCACGATATTCCTGCCTTCCAATTACAGGCACAAGTACCCGAGGCACTTCTATATATAAAGTATACGGTACAATGTATTATTGCTCATAATATGATCTTAATTAATCCTAATATGAACCTGACCATTACGGTCAATGAAGGAATATATTATTACTTGAATGACATATTACCATAACATATTTACTAACACTATGGCCACAGAACACCATTAATTTCCTACTTGGCTTTAAAGGGGGTTGAATGGCGGATTGGTTTAACGAGTGCACTTTAGAACATGAAACTTGGCTTTAGAGGGGGTTGAATGGCGGATTGGTTTAACGAGTGCACTTTAGACCATGAAACTTGGCTTTAGAGGGGATTGAATGGCGGATTGGTTTATCGAGTGCACTTTAGATCATAAGGTCTCTAACAGTCGGATTTCAAAATAAGAGCAGGCTGCATCGCTGCTGTCCGGACAAGATTTCCCTCATAGTCATAGCAAACTGCATGATGTATGCCCATCTTCATCCCAGTCGGAGCAAAACAGTATTTTTATGAGAGAGAAATGGGGTTTAATGTCCACTCGACACACACTAGGTCATTTCGGGACTAACATATGGTTCAAATTTATTTCAATAATTTGCTTGCGCGTAGGGGTCTTTGGGAAACCGGAAAACCTGGAGAAAACCCACGAGGTTGGACATTCGACCCTACTCCTTGTCACGTACAACCGGGGATTCGAAACCACACCAGATGACTCAATGACAGACCTTATGATACAACGCGCACATGCTAACCATTCGGCCACCACCCCTCCCCCCCCCTCGTTCAAAAAGAGATTACATGCCCATGTGGTTTCATCGCGTACAACCGGGGAATCAAAACCACACCAGTTGACTCAATGACAGACGTTATGATACAACGCGCACATGCTAACCATTCGGCCACCACCCCCCTCGTACAAAATGAGATTACATGCTCATGTGGTTACAGCGAATTTGGTATTATATGATTATATATATATTGATCCTAACAACCTTACTAATATGATATTCATAACATTAAAATTAATAATATGTTCAATATATACAAATACGGTCAATAAAATATCAACGACTACCACAACTAAAATAATCTGTTATATTTATAATAATCTCAATCTCATTAAAATAGAGGTCTATATTTCGTTCCGTTTTTTTTAATATTTCGACGGGGTACACTACATGAAGATCTGACCGGTTGTAGTAAAAGGATGTGTGAACGTCTTTTGATCCTATGACGTCAGACATTGATTAATCATTCAGCGTTGACATTTCTGGTGGTTCCGTGCATCGCACACCAAGATGTCGCTGTAACAGATGGTTTCATTGGCTAATCCCTCACATCATCCAGAAAGCGGGCTATATAACAATGCTTCTAGATCCTAGTGTAGTAAAGACAAATTAAAATACATGTTGGCGTACCATTATTTCAAATAATCGTACGGGAAACTTGCCAATCGTACATTATCTATACTAGATGAAATATTGACGAATTTCACTGTAAAAGCACGTGCGGAGTGTCTATATTTTAAGTCGTTTAATGGTCTCGAGCTTAAAACATTGCGTAATATATTGTAAAAACACTCAGGCCTATGGTCCTCTTGTTGTAACAATAATATATTACTTAATGTCTCGCTCGAGACCATTAAACAATACGTAAAACTATAACTATAAAAAACGAAATGAAATATGATCTGTGTATTAATCAGATTGTATTGATCTATTTGTAATGATCTGTGTATTAATCAGATTGTAATAATCTATTTATTACTATGTTATTGAAACCCCTGCCAATCACTAACATCTGAATCTTCATCCCATTCTACTCTTGTACAGTGGATACCATTCTTTAAAGCTGGAGTACCTTTTCCTTTACCTACAAATAAATAAACACACTCTTTTAAAGATAAATGCAATTTCATAATATAAACACACTCTCTTAGACGAGTGTAAATGCAATTTCAGAATAACAAATTACACTCTCTTAAAGATAAATGCAATTTCATAGTAACAAATTACACCCTCTTCAAGATAAATGCAATTTCATAGTAACAAATTACACCCTTTTAAAGATAAATGCAATTTCATAATGATATATCCTCTTAAAGATAAATGCAATTTCATAATAACAAATTACACTCTCTTAAAGATAATGCAATTTCATAATGACAAATTACACTCTCTTAAAATGCAATTTCATAATAACAAATTACACTCTTTTAAAAGATAAATGCAATTTCATAGTATCAATGCACTTTCTTAAAAGATAAATGCTATGGCATAATAACAAATTACACTCTCTTAAAGATAAATGCAATTTAATAATAACAATTTGCAATCTTTTAAGATACTGGTAACACAATTTCATAATAACAAATTACACTCTCTTTAAGACAATGCAATTTCATAACAAATTAAATCCAATTTCATAATGATACTCTCTTAAAGATACCGGTAATGCAATTTCATAATAACAAATTACACTCTCTTAAAATGCAATTTCATAATAACAAATTACACTCTCTTTAAGACAATGCAATTTCATAACAAATTAAATCCAATTTCATAATGATACTCTCTTAAAGATACCGGTAATGCAATTTCATAATAACAAATTACACTCTCTTAAAATGCAATTTCATAATAACAAATTACACTCTTTTAAAAGATAAATGCAATTTCATAGTATCAATGCACTTTCTTAAAAGATAAATGCTATGGCATAATAACAAATTACACTCTCTTAAAGATAAATGCAATTTAATAATAACAATTTGCAATCTTTTAAGATACTGGTAACACAATTTCATAATAACAAATTACACTCTCTTTAAGACAATGCAATTTCATAACAAATTAAATCCAATTTCATAATGATACTCTCTTAAAGATACCGGTTATGCAATTTCATAATAACAAATTACACTCTCTTAAAATGCAATTTCATAATAACAAATTACACTCTCTTTAAGACAATGCAATTTCATAACAAATTAAATCCAATTTGATAATGATACTCTTTTAAAGATACCGGTAATGCAATTTCATAATAACAAATTACACTCTCTTAAAATGCAATTTCTTGATAACAAATTACACTCTTTTAAAAGATAAATGCAAATTCATAATTACAAAACACACTCTCTTAAAGATGCATTATATAAGATTTATATAAAAAGCTGACAGTTCTCACAAGAATAGATTAAAAATAGATAATGAAAAAGGAATATATTGAAAATTTCAGTGAAATTACTTCATTCTGAGCAAATTAAATTATTAAATGATGATTGTGCTTCAATCTGGTCAAAATCACAACAATCCGATGATCTAGAGAGTTGATTATGAGAGAGAGAGAGAGAGAGAGAGAGAGAGAGAGAGAGAGAGAGAGATGGGGTTTAACGTCCACTCGTCACAAACTAGGTCATTTTAGGACTAACACATGGTTTAATTTTATTTCAATATTTCGTTTGCGCGTAGGGGTCTTTAGCAGTGGGACGAAACCGGAGGATCCAGAGAAAACCCATGAGGTTGGACAGGCGACCCTACTCCTTGTCATGTACAACTGGGGAATCAAAACCACGCCAGTTGACTCAATGCCAGACTCAATGAATGGCCTAATAATGTAATGCACACACTAATCTGCCACCCAACCCCCGACCAATATTGAATTCTTAGTTATGTTTTTAATTTTGAATAGTATGGATAATAATGAGTTAGAAATGAAATAAAATGGGGTTTAACGTCCTACTGTTCGGCTTATTGAGTTATAAGTTTCAGCTCGTTTAAAACACCTTTCTAGAGTTTTATATTGCAATAGTCTGTTTGTACACAGGAATTCTGACAATGATTAATGGTTTACTTGATAATTCACAGACAAACTAGCCATTGGATCGATTCAAGCAGTAAACAATTCTTTTTTCTTTTAACTGAAGTTAAAATTCATCAATTTACTGGCTTTGACTAAAAAGTAAAGTATGTTTCATAAATTTTGCGATTTAAACTCGATCGAAAATGAGAAACATTTTTTGCTATACTGTAGCAAGTAGGAAGAAATATGCCAAACCCATTTATACCCAGCCTTCTCAGCAAATCCTAAGATTTCCTACAATTTTCATAATCTCTTTACACCACCAAAATTAATTGACAAGGCAGTGGCTTCATATGTGTTTCTGGCTTTTGATGAGAGATCTAAATCAGATTTGGTGGCAACTACATCTAACTGAAACCCCTTTGATATACATGAAGTATACTGTTTGTATGAATATAATGAGTTGTCTATGTATTATTAAATGTATATGATTGACTATGTCTAATATATATGTATGCACGCTGTCCATAATGGACGTTTTGATGCAATAAACATCTTATCTTATCTTATCTAAAGAGACTATCCTTTGTTGTCCACTTGTAATTCTAGAATATTATTCTTTAGTTCCAATACAAGATTAATAAGATAAGATAAATTTTTTATTGCATAAAAAGTCCCAGGGGAAGCAGCATACAATTACATACATGTATATTACACGTCATAAAACTACATACATTTCATCTCAAAGAAAATTAATACCGATATGTCATAATACGAGTCAAATAAGGTAAACTGATCACAATTGAAAAAAAATAATGATGAGTTTCTTTGACTTCCTCAATGACTTTCTTTGAAAGCTAGCTTAATGGTACTACTTCTAAGATCGCGCAGGTAATTGGTTCACTTAAGATTGTATTATTTATCTCATTTGATCTGACATATAATAATGTCTTGTCTACTCCTCATATCCTGATATCCTGATAATTAACGCCCTAGGGCAATATACATCAGGAGCTTAATGCAACAATGTTCTGAGTGTAACTTGTGATTGTAAAAGTATTATCAACATCAGTCAGACTTAACTAGACAAGACAGTATTGATCTATAAGAGAGAGAGAGAGAGAGAGAGAGAGAAATGGGGATTAACATCCACTCCACACAAACAAGGTCATTTCGGGACTAACATATGGTTCAATAATTTGCTTGCACGAAGGGGTCTTTAGCAGTGGAAGGAAACCGGAGGACCTGGAGAAAACCCACAAGGTTGGACAGGCGTCCCTACTCCTTGTCATGTACAACTAGGGAATCGAAACCACGCCAGTTGACTTAATTACAGACCTTATGATACAGCGTGCACACGCTAACCTATCGGACATCTCCCCCCTCCCCCCTAGACGTAAAGAAAGACTGTAATAGGCAGATGTATGTTGAACTCTCACCAAAAAAAAGTACCTTTGGATCTTCATTCGGATAGGACAAAAAAAAATCAGAATAAAGTAATTTGAATGAAATTTTCAATATATTCATTCTATATTATCTATTTTTGAGCTGTTATAGCAAGAATGGTTAGCTCCTTATATAAATCTTATATAATGTATCTTTAAAGCGGAAATTGCAAATTTTCTAAGAAAGTCAAAACGTAATTATTTCTATGTCTTTTGCTCAATAGGTTGTCAACTCACTATTATACGATCATAGGTATCATTCTCACACTTAAAAATCATTCACCCCGGAAATAATAACACAATTACCTCCCTTGTTTTCTATTCTCCGCCATGGAGTAGCGATATTCAAATGTTTAAAAAAGAAGAGGAAAATGATATTTTTGCCAATTTCTCAGCTGGAAACAGTGAATTATAGGATTAATAGGATTATTCTTTAACAAGGTAAGACTGTTTATGGATACCATCTATTTTCAGGCTTTATTTTAATAAATTTTAAAAATATAACTTAAAAATTTGCAATTTCTGCTTTAAATAATTCCAAGAGATCTTCACGCTGAGGGATTACAATAAGATTAAAACGTAATCAAATAAAAAGTGATGCATTATAAGTAACGCTATTAAGGTAATTCCCTGAATGTCTCCAATTGTCATTTGTGTTTTTCAGATAATATGTAGTATTCCATGCCTTAATCCATGCTTAAAGTAGCTAACTCAATATCATCCAAATTATTTGTCAATTCTAAATACAGTTAGGCTGCTGTCCGGGCAAATTTATGTGTATGTAAAATCTACCCTAGGGTGCTAGTCAATGAAGCATGATACTGAAACATTCCAACTTCCGGAAAATCTAAAAATTCGACCACACTCTTCCTTTTCTTAAGTCAAAACATTTTCGTCCTAACCCCTTAAATGTATTCAAGTCTGAGTATTTTTTTTAATCAAGGGTCCACCATACAATAGTTTATTAAACAGGCATAGAAATAACGGCCGAATGGTTAGCACATGTGCGCTGTATCATAAGGTCTGTCATTAAGTCAACTGGCGAGGTTTCGATTCCCCGGTAGTACGTGGCAAGGAGTAGGGTCGCCTGTCCAACCTCTTGGGTTTTCTCCGGGTCCTCCGGTTTTCCTCCCACAGCTAAAGACCCCTACGCGCATGCAAATTATTGAAATAAAATTGAACCATGTGTTACTTGCGAAATGACCTAGTCTGTGTCGAGTGAACGTTAAACCCCATTTCTCTCTCTATTTTTCGGCTATATTGTCTGTATATGTGAATATAGAGTTAAATAAATTATGCATTTTTTAAATAAAATTCGATGTAACAAAGATTTCTGTCAGATTAAAACGAGTACAAATCCGATTCACTTCTGACACCAGTCAGTGAAGAAATGTAGGTTGCTAAATCACATTTCATTTCGATTATTTCTGAAAATTGATCAATTCAATCTTCTGGGAAGCTGAAGAAAACAGATGCAATTATCCAAATATATTCTGAATTCACGAAAGTTACGTTATTAGATTACCAACTTGTTGAATGAGGGGGGAAAATTTGTCAGAAGTTAAATTGAATGAAGTTCTATTTCCAAGTTTTCAAGATATAATCAAACTGAACTGATTTTATTAACATGAAAAGAACCGATTGAATACTGTTGAAATTTCATTTATCAGTTTACAGAACTAACATTCAACTACAGTCTTTTATGTGTGGTTGAGAGCATGACGTTAAAGGGGCATTGTGGGAGATTAAATAAAGAGTTGGCGGTTCGTGCTATAATAGTTCAAAAATAGATAACGTAAAGAGAATATGCTGAAAATTTCAGTCAAATTGCTCCACTCTGAACTGAGAATTAGCGATTGAATTTTAGACCTAGCCTCAATTATCATTACTAAAGTCGGTATAAAAAAACAAAGTCTCGATAAATCCATTTTGACGTTAAATCATCCATCACAAAATGTATTCCAATATGTTAAATATCGCAGGCTAGCGATGGCATCGAGAGTTGATTATGGTCTGGATAAGTTAATTAATGTCTAATTAATAATTAAGATAACACTTCAGGCCTAAAGAAAGACCTGCAATAGACAGATTTAGCTCTTGCATAATGTATGTGATACTGCACAAAAGTATTAGTCTTGAGTGTTGTAGATATACGATGTATCAATATGTGATGAAGTGTCTTGTAATTGAATAAATAAATGAAATATGGTTTAATGTCCTACTCTTCTGTTCCTATACTGGGCAAAATTTCCCTCATAGCACACTATATGGTGTATGCCCATCTTCATTAGTCCAGTCAGAGCAGAACAGTAGGACATTAAACCCCATTTCATTTCATTTCAATTCATTTCTCATAGGAGTTCAAACCAAAGGTTGGGAAAGGCCCTTTCATGTAGTTTCTGTGAGCATAAATGGAGTAGAAGCTATAATAACTTTAATTTTATTCCTATCAAAGATTGTTTTTTTTCCAGATATTTATTAGTCATTAAATCACAGGAACTCAAGTAGTTTGCCAATCCTTTAACATGTCAAGAGAGATGCATTGTGAAGAGCTACATGTAATGCCAGAGGAAACTGTTAAATATCGTGAAGATTATCACAATACATGATTACACTACATGTTGTAATGTCTAGACAGTCGATAACTGATAATCATAATTATGTCAACTCTACAATCAAATCAGCAGCTAAAGAGCGAGAAAGAGAGAGGCTTTAATGTCCACTGGACACAAACTAGGTCATTTCGGGACCAACACATGGTTCAATTTTATTGCACGTAGAGGCTTTTAGCAGTGGGAGGAAACCGGAGGACCTGGAGAAAATGCACAAGGTTGGACAGGCGACTCCTACTCCTTGTCAAGTACAATTGGGGAATCAAAACCACACCATTGGACTCAATGACAGACCTTATGATTCAACGTGCATGCGTTAACCTACTCCTTGTCACGTACAATCAGGGAATAGAAACCACACCACTGGACCCAATGACAGACCTTATGATACAACGCGCATGCGCTAATTAACCTACTCCTTGTCACGTACAAGCGGGTAATCGAAACCACACAACTGGACTCAATGACAGACACTATGATCTGACACGCTAGCGTTAAACAATTCGGCCACCCAATGCCCGGTTGATTATAAAAAGTTGGACACGGGGGTTGGGATGGCCTAGTGGTCTAAAGTGCCGCACTTCAACCTCTAGCTGGCCGGTCACCTCTGGCTTGCGGTTGTGGTTTCGATCCCTGGTGTGAGCGTATGTGGCTTGGAGATTGGGGCGCCTTCTCAACCTCGTGGGTTTACTTCGGTTTCCTCCCACATGAAAGACCCCTGCGTGTGCGCCAAGATAATGAAAATGAAAAATAAGACTTGTCTGTGATATCACCTTCGGTGGAAGTGGATGTTAATCACTAAGATCTACAACCCCATTTTATTTTGTTTTAAGTTCACGTATAACGATATCCAGTTAACAAGTTTACTGTATTATTTGAGCAGGCTAATTTGCTGATTTGTAAAGGCCGCCTCTGTTGTTAAATGCAAGTGGTTGCCAAGAAAAACTTACAGGCAGTCTGAGGCAGACAACCTATTTTCACCGAAGGTTAAGTAGCACACTGTGGGACGAGCTTCACATGTCTAGCAATGCTGGAGAGCTCGGACTAGAATTTGATTTCTACTAGCCCAAAGACAAAACTGACTGAAGACAGTCCAAGAAAAAAAGACAAAATTCAACCAAGCCTAATGTACCGGACAAAATGTCTGACAACATCCATTCATCCAACCAACCAAGCCTGATAATACCACGTTTAGATGTACCTGACAAAATGTCTGAAACCATCTAAGTTTTACATGGAACTTTTTAACTCGGTGCCAGACTATCATTAAAAACATAGATAAAAGATGGTTTTCATCGGTTCTGTTAAGGCAGAACAGTCAGACATTGAAAAACAATTTCATTGCATTTCATTTTGTTTCATTTACTTTACAAGATTCAATTTTAAAAGAACTAAACCTACAGGAAAATATAAATGGATGGAGACTAGTTGATTTGATAGGTTTGTTAATACTAGGTTCCCACTGTCGTGCGATTCGTTATGATAGGATTATCTCTATTGAGTCCATGATCTGCTACGTGCAGATATGTTTCGATATGATCAACACAATTGCTACGACTGACATCAAAGTGTGATAAATCTTATAAGACCTGATTGGATCATCACGATTACTCCACGATTTCATTTGTGGCTCAAATCATGATGATAGTAAGAACCTAGCATTACAGTTTAACTTTTTTTGTTTTTAGCTTAAGGCTTAAACTGTTAAATTAACACCTTTCAGTTTTATAAAATAAAAGCAGAATATATAATTCTCAAAATTCTTGAAATATAATTAGTGTTTTTGACTAAAATCCTTGATTTAGAACTTAAAATGTTGGTCAGTTGGCACTGTAACCCAGGTATCTTTTAATCTTGTGTATCTAGCACTAATTTCTTTCACATTCGTTTAATATCACATCTTTGTTTAAAAATTCATAAAAATCGTTCAAAATCACCTAAAATCATCTAATTTGTACTTGTGTCCAGTTTAAAGCTGACTGATTAATTTTGATAATGAGTGTACAATTTACAAGTATAGACAAAAAATTAACAAGCAATCACCAATCAATTATCGGCGAGATTAAAACTTGCTCGCATAGGTCTTTGTTGATTACTTTGATAATTTTATACTCTCTTGTAAGACAGTTGTGACAAATACTCAAGAATAACCACAAATTATTAAGTTGTAAAATATTCCTAGCACCTGTTGGAAACATTCGTTGCACATGCCGACTGA